GTAAATAATGAAAAAGTCAATGGCAAACCCCCTAGAACAATTGAAACCTTAAAGAGCACTAACATTAGCAGGTACTTACAAACTGTCTTCCGCTAAGAACGAGATGAAAATACACTAATCAAGAACTATATTTCTCTGGGATGCTTCCGAGGGCTGCGCTGCCTGCGGGCGTGCGTGTCCCTTCCCCTGCATGGCAGCCAATAGCCGGGCGCTTTTTAATTAAGATTTTATTTCTGCAATTGAGGGAAGCTGCAGCAGCACCACTCCTGCAGCCCTCTCAAACTTGGGGACCGGAGCGGCCGCACAAGGGAAACCTTTAGGTGAATCAAGGGGAGTGAGGAGAGGAAGAAACTCCGGATAATTCGGGGCTTCTTCAGAATAAATACATTAAACCCCTGTCGTGTTTTTGCGAGCTGACCCAGACATGAGCGCTGGGCCGTGGGTGCAGAGTGGTGCGTTTGTGGATGCTGCCAGAGTCAAACGCACGGCGGGGATAACTGAGCAGCAAACCGGGCACCGAGCAACGAAACGCGGCGTCTCTGGTCATCCCTGAAACGAAGTAGCATCGACTTTCACGCGTCTGGAGGGCGCGGACTGCCCTGACCACGGTGGGCTTCCCCTCTAGCACCCTCTAGCCCCGGTGGCTCCGGAGGTCGGCGGCTTTTTCTGCGCTCGGCCAGGGCAGGGAACCGGCCCCGCTCCCTGGAGCCGGCCCAGGAGCCCTGTGCCAACCCGGGCTGCTCCTGCGGGGAGGAAAAGAGGAGCTGGGTCCAAGCCTGAGCTCCTCTCGTGGTTTGACGCTGGGAGTTGCTCCCAGAGCCAAGCTGGGAGCGAGACCAGTCTCAGGGGCTTTAAAGTCGCATTTCAGCGGGTTTGGAGAAATGAATTTCTTTCCATGTCCCGCCCGGGCAGCGGAAGCGCGGCTGCTCTGTGCGTGCCTAAAACAAACATCCCTCCCCCAGAAAGACACGGGAGCAGGGATGTACAAGAAGATTTTATTGTGCCTCGTCAAACAGAAATGAATTGCAGTATGAGAGAAGGGAGGAAAAAGGGAGGGGTGGGGGCAGAGAAACATCCACCTCCCCGCTGCCTCCCGTCCATACTCACACACACACTGGGCTCTGGCAGGCCGGGACAGAGCTGGAGAGAGCCCCGAGCCCACGGCAAGTCCTGGCCGCGCCTCTGCTGCTCCGGGCGAACTCACAGCTCGGGGTGGTTTGTTTTAATAAATCTCTGAAATGTGCGCACTGTCTGGGTTCACAGTGAAAGTTTTCAAAGCAAAATACGGACAGGGGAGAAATTATTATTATTGTTAAAATATCAAACCAATGAGAAGTGTGATTCTGGGCTCTCCTTTCCTAAACGCACCTCGTAAGAGAAGAGAAACACAGGAATAGTTGGGTCCCGGTTGGAAGCGTCCCCTCCAGCCTGGAAAGCGGAAAGGCAGAGTCTCCCTGAACAGGAGAGTCACCAGGAGCAGGGTGCCGAGACTGAGAAGAGGCCTCGGCTCCGCGTCAGGAGCGACCCTGGCGAAGAACGGCGCATCCCGGGAGCGGCGGCTTCGCCTCCAGCCCCCTCCGCCTCCGGGCGCCTGCCGGGGCTGTGCCGGCCCTGGGGGCGGCCGGGGCGTGGGAAACCGTCAGGCGCCCCTGAAATTGGGGGACATTTGGACAAACGTCCTCAGAACTTGCTGGATCCTGGAGTTGCGTTACGTGTTCTTGCAATTTTAAAGTTGCTATTTAATAAATACCTACTATTAGGATGTGGGATTGATACTGAGTGTAATTAAAACCAGAACATGGCTAAGTGTTTTGGACGAGGAGGTGTCCTCTGCTGACTTTGGACGAACAGCAGAAACAGGCACTGGGCATTACGTGCCCAGCTCTGGGACACTGCACCCCGACTCTGCCTGCCTCAGTGAGCGGGCCCGTGCTGCAGGAGCCCACGGGAGCAGCCTTGGGATAGAGATGATGCACGTTGTGTGTTCCAGTTTCCACTCCCCCGTCTGCAATGTTACTGAAAGCCTGAGGCTCCGAACAGAAACCACCGCGTTTCACTGGCTGATTACTGACCCACTCTTGGGTTGGTTTTTTTGTTTTGTTTTTTGTTTGTTTGTTTGTGGGGTTTTGTGTTTTATTTTTTTGTCTGTTTGTTTTTTTTCCCCGTGGTTGTTTCCAAAATAGTTTTAAACCGCCGTAAACGGAAAGGATAACCCAGCCCTTTAATTGAAGTCAGAGCTGAAAGACAAGGGAATGAGGGAAATCGGCATAACCCGTCCAGTGTTGTTGTTGGTGGTGGGCTGCCTCAGAGGGGGAAAGTGAAGGTATTTGCAGAAATAAAACCCATTGCAACCCCAAACAAAACTGTCAGGAAAAGTGGAGACGATTTTCTCCCTGTTAAACCAACATAAAGCGATATTTTAAATGTTTCTTATTAGGTCTCATCGAGTTCTACGAATTCCCAATTAAATCAAATGGTAAGAGTAATACTCCCCGGAGAATAAAATTAGTGGTTGCGAATAAAATTAAATCGGATATTTTGACTTGTCTGCTGTATTAAATAAAAGTGTTATAACACCTAAATCATGAGGAGTGGGTGGCAGCTGGAAAACGCTCATTTCGTGACCGAAAAAAAAAAAAAAAAGGAGGAAGACAGATGTAAGTGTAATAAAAATATTGAAAATTTGGAGGGCTTTCCAACTGCGCTTTTCGCAACCATGGAAGGAGAGTGACCGAGGGGAAGAGTCATGGCAGCATGAGCGGGCGCTGCGTGTCCTGCAGCGGGGCGGCCCCGCGGCCCTGCGCGCTCTCCAGCCCGCGGAAGAAGCAGCGGGCAGGGCCGGCACGCTTCGAGCAGAGCCGGGGCTTTCTCTTCTCCCGGCTCGGGGCCCGCAGCTCGCCCGGGGCACCCAGCCGGGCAGGCACCGGGAGCAGGGCTAGCGGCTTGGGAGCGCAGCTGGGGATGCTGAAGCGGCGGGACGAGGCCCCTACGACCGGCAGACGGTTCCCGCTACGGACAAGGACTTACGGACTCGTGTGAAAAAAAACTTCAGAAAGTGCCGAGGAGGATGGAGATCCCTCGTGGGAAAGAGAGGGGAGAACCCTGGGGAAAGGAGACGGCGTTATTTCCCACCGAAGTGCTACCTCCTCCCGCTACCAACGAAGGTGACGTCAAACCCGGGTGCTGATGCTAAAACAAAAGCTCCGGGGTTAATATACAGTTACCAGCCCGGCAGCCTCCTCCTCCTCAAAAACAGTCCCTCGGGTTTATTGTCCCCGCGGGGAAGGCGCCTGTTGAACATATAGTCACGCAAACAGCTGGCAGGAGAAAGAAAGAACGAACTTTACTTTCTGGTGAGCGAAGGGCAGGGCTCCCCTCGGCTAAAGCGCAGCGAAAGGATGGAAAATCATACTCACCTCGGGCTTCTCCTGTTGCGGCAGCACTTGTACATTCACCTGCGTGTGTGGAGAGAGGGAGAGACGGAGTGGGGAGAGAGAAAGAGAAGAGAGGAAGGGAGGAAGGGAGGAAGGGAGGAAGGGAGGAAGGGAGGAAGGGAGGAAGGGAGGAAGGAAGGAAGGAAGGAAGGAAGGA